AAACACAGAGATCCGGCCAGGGGTTTGTTGCGCGTATGCCCGGGGGCGCCCGACGCAGCCGCCCCGGAAGTCCGTACCCAGGGTACGTTCCGGCAGTCACCCTGGGAGCATAGACCCTAATCAGGCAGAATCCACGATGCTCGCTGCTAGCACGTGTGCGAGAGCCTCAATCCGATTTTCTCGCATCGAATGGCTCAATCTTGGATTTTGCTACCTATAAAAATGCTAAATAACTTCTTAGTTTTGTCACACTAGGAGATAATTCCTATCTCAAAAACAACAATCTCCTACTCTGACCAGGGACCATAGACGAGTACAAAAATATCCCTGCCTGATGCAGGCTTCAACCTAACTTCAGCCAACATGTTATAGGAGTCGGTAGGTAAAATCTAATCGGCGGCATTTGCTGCCATAATAACGCAAGCGGCATCTTTAGGAAAATAATCCTGCGTAAACATCCACACGCGAAGAGAAAATACACGCTGAAACAACACTGAGGATTTCTGGCTGAGTGCCAGTGAATGATATTTGAGCTGTCATCATTCACACTAGTGTATACACAAGGTAGGCCAAACCTAGATGCAAATAGACTCCTCTATCATATGGATGGCTATAGATGTGCTCGTTTATTCACATCGTGGTTTTTCTGCAACGTGTCGCCACGGCGCCAAAAACTCAGAAGAATTATCAAACGAAACCATGCAAACAAATGATTCCATATCTCGCTCACCGAACGGTTACCTTTAGTTTTGTGCCGACAAATGGCACCGCTGTACTTACCCTTGAGCAGAGAACGAGGCCAAGGAGATAGCAGACGCTGCAGCTGCCGATGACGACAATCCACTTGCGCTTGCGGAAGAGATGTGGGAACCCATCGGTGATGGTCGTCACCACTGTCTGCATGATCGTGAACTGTGAAATGGATGAGGTCAGAGGTCACTTGGAGTTCGTGTCACGAGGTCACATCAACACTAAACATTTTAGTACCTCGCAAAGCAACAAATCATTCGATGACTTGTTGAGAAGTTTAATTATGGAGATAGATATTTCAAATTGTTAAAAAAATTCACTTTGAAAATCGAGATTGAATTTGTTTTCATAAATTGTTATGCTTATATTGATAGACATGTTACGTTTACGATAAAAAAAAAACATGAATAGAGTTTTTATATGTTAAAAAAGCATATTTCTAACACTATCTAATGAAAAGAAAAATAATTGCCCTAATAATGATTTTTTGTTATAGATCCTACTTATAACTACATATGATATTACATCTACAATATTAAAAGGTTTCACTAATTAAGCCAGTGTATACCACCCAACTACAAATCTCTGATTAGATCGATAGAACTGTCACATTGCTTCTATCGATGGCAGCGCAGCACGGCGCAGGCATTATGTTAAAGCAGAGCGTTTTCAGTAGGAACTAAGAATGAGATAGTTGTGTTGGCAAAGTACGAGAGAACTTTTCACTACGACTCATCAAAACTGCGCCATAGTTTGCAAGTTTAGGCAAACTTCCCTGACTTAAAAAAGAAAACAGCCAAACTTTGATAGGTACGATAGACATTTTTCCAAATTATACTGCTTACGAAAAGCAAACATAGATTTCAACCAGTAATAGACATCATGGTAGACAATTCTTTTACTAGGAAGTAACTCGACAAAAAAAACAATGACCGTGTTCGGTAAAGTTCAAAGCGAAAAGTTCTACCCGCTTATACATGTCAGTGACATCTAGTATGAGCCGAAGCACAAACAAGCGACAAGGAGATAAGGTGTGACGGTGCAGCAGCATATCATCAAGAGCTAATAAATAGCGTGTGTAGGTGGGTGTGGGTGTTTATTAGCTCTTGATATCATCAGGAGTAGATAATAGTGAAATCCTATTATCTACTCCTGATATCCTCTATCTAGCGAGAGATCTTTATGATGGCATCGCGGGCAGCTGTCCGCACATCCGCACCACCGGCGACGCACGACATGTACAGCCCACGACCCGCTGCGCGCTCGCCACACCGCAGTGCAACCGATGCGCAGCGCCCACGCATGTAGCATCACACCCGGCCCATCCCACAGCCACGCGACGGGCCCTGCGCCACGACTGCTACAGCGCGCACACGCGCACTCACTGACGAGCATGCAGCTAGCACACCCCAAAACAACCCACGACGCCGCGGGGGCACGCCATGTAAGCAGCACCCAAGCCGACGACGCGACACGCGGCAACGGGAAATGTTGCACAGACGCCATCCACCCCACCCAGCCGCGCACGCACGCGACGGGCCACGCGCCCCCGCACGCGTCACGGCCGCGACGCACGGCACGCGCACACACACCGCGCAGCACACGACAGCGCACAGCGACAGCACAGCACCACAGCGGGCCACACACAGCCAGCAACACCACGGAGCAGCGCATAGTATCACGCCACACGCCCACCGCACGCGGCACGACATGTTGCACCGGAGCGCGTGAGCGTGCCACACCCGACACGCCGGCACGCACCGCATGGCACCCACCGCACATCCGCACACCCCACGCCTACTGCATGTTAGCACACACACCGCAGCAGCCGCACGCCCGGCCGCGCACGGCATGTACACACAGCGTGCACCCACACCGCCAGCGTCACCGCATGTACACACATCTATCCCGCACCCACCGGCCACGGCATGGTACAGCACACAGCGGCTCCGCGCGCACAACGCCACGCCGACGGCCAGTGCTGACACACACATGCCCGGGCGTGGCCACACACAGCCCACGCGCCACCGCAACGGCATGTCACACCAGCCACAACCGGCACACCCCCACCGGGCCCACGGCATGTACACGCCACGACCCGCACCGCAGCGCATCTACACACACACCCACACGCGCGACGCACTGCGCCGACCGCCGGCGCGGCGCCGCGCGAGCAATGTACACAACACGCGCAGCGGGCCCGACGGCCGCAGGCGCACGCATCGGTACACACACAGGCCGCACAGCCGCACACGCGCGCGCATGTAACACAGCGGCACCAGCAGCCAACAAACGGGTCATGTAACACGCACGCAATGTAACACCGCACACGCCGTACGGACACGCATGTAACACACAGCCCGCAGCCCCACGCCGCACGCCACCGCATCGTACACTCGCCACACCGCACGCACGGCATGTACAGCAGCACCCCCGCACCACGCCACGCACGCAAACAATTGTACACAGCACCACCCACACACGCCGGGCATGATAGCACCGCACACCGCACGCACGCCATGGTACACTCACACGCGGCACACGCACGCACGGCATGCAGCAGCACACCCACACGACTCCACGCACGCATGTACACGGTCCACCGACCGCTAGCGCACGCCATTGTAGCACACACACGCCACATCCCACGGCACGCATGTACGCGCCACAGGCCCGCACGATCGCCACGCACCCGCAGTGTACACGCAGCGCCGCGAGCCGCGCCCGACCCCACAGCCCCCGCGGGCCGCACGCACAGCATGGTACAACACGCCGGCCGTGTGCGGCCTCGGGGTCCTGGCGAGCGGCGCCGGCCCTGCGCCCACACCCGCACACACCCACGCACGCAATGTCAACGCTCCACACGCCACCGGACACGGCATCGCTACCACCCACCCCGGCGCCGCCCACCACCGCACGCACGGCATGTACACACACAGCGCGCGGCCCACACGCCACGCGACAGCAATCAGCCGGCACACACTGACGTGTATGCACCGGCCGCAACACTATGCAAACGAAAAGCTATTAGTGCGCAGACATCGCCGGAGGTTTAGAAGAAACTCTACAGCTAAATCCAAGTGAAGACTGAAGTATGAGAAACTACAGGCTGAACCGAAAGCATAATGTGTTCCCTAGTTAATGTGCACACGGCTCCGTCCAGGGTTCATGCGAAACACAAGCAGACACCGAGTCTTCCAGGCGTGACATTATGTACATGCATGCATAATAGGGACATAAAGGATAGCACTGGTGCAATCACTGCCAAACGCTAAACAGAAATTAAACTAAGATCTAGCATACGGCGAAGCTCAGCACGCTGTAAAGGAGAGGGCATTCGTGGCATTGAACAGCATCGCAATGCCAAGCGACAGCTCAAGGTACGCGGCGAATGCCGCCGTGAACCCTGGCGCGGCGCGTGAGCATAACCAAACCCGGCCTGCAGCCGAAATTCCAACTAATAACTATCGTTTCCCAAGATGAGTCACACTTTTCACTATAATGCACTGCAGCTATGCCGTCCCGGGTATCAATTCTAGCCGCGGTAACAGCCAGTCAGCCCGTAATAGAGAAAGAAGCCGGCCAACGGGCCTTACCTGCAGTGCAATCCTCCGCACAGTACTACAGCGTTCTACTCTCTGCCCCTTCATGCATGCTTTTTTATAGCTAGCTATTATACTCCTAATTGCTCCTATGTGTTGCCTAAATCGCTCGCCATTATCTAAAAGCTGCAGCCTAGCCCTCGCATGTAGTAGTGTCGCCCCAAGCGGGGCATCTGATCCATCGCTATTATTGGCCGCTAGCTACTAAATAAATATTCTATTACCCGTAACTGCCATGTAGTGCGAGCTGAAGACGGCTTGATGTTACATTCACCTACGCCGGCTATATCTCGGACCTCATGCTATCTATCGGGTTCCTTCGCTGCACTACAGCGTCCTTTGATTTACACTACACTACCTGCTATACTCCCTCGACTGCCACTGCCTGATTCTATCGGGTTCCTTCTGGCACTAGCACGCCGTCGCTTGATGTTACATACACTACGCGCTATAGCCTCGACTCATGCTAATCTATTCGGGTTTCCTCTCGCGTGCACTACAGCGTCCTTCTAATGGCTGCGCATTATTACGCTACCATAGGGGGCGGGCCACCCGTGGTTATTAACATTCAGGCGACAGTCGCTGCCGGTGGCATGCCCCTCGCGGCCTGGCCAGGTCGATCAGCACGGTGAGCCGCCACCCATGGCTGCGTTCATTTCGTTACACAGGGCGCAGCACCAGCCCCGCGTATCTGCACGTCTAAGGGCGAAGTGGGCAGGGTGTGTAGGCACAACGGCAACCTGTGAATGCGCGCATGCCGGCCAGGGTGAGGATCATGTGAAAAGAAGAGGATTGGACGGGCCACAGAGCCGATATGAGGCAAGCCGTGTCAAGTGCTTCTGGTACGCGATAAATGCGCAAGCTCCAGCGCGCGCTATAATGCAACAGGGCAAAAAACACGGGTGCATGAAAACTAAATGAAGGGCCCAGCATCGCGTGCTATAGCGTCGCCGAAAGTGACGAGGTGGTGGTCCGGGTGGGCAGCAAGGGGACGCTGGAATCGCGCGTGATGTGATCATCGCTGGTTCAACACTGTGATGTGGGGCACAAAATTTAACAAGCAGCACGACAACCACAAAGGTCCAACAAGACAGTAACACTCGACGGCACTAGGCTGCATTGCCAACGCCAGTGGACGCTTGTTAACGACCACCACCAGCATCACAGTTTGCCTACCGTTTTTTGTAGAGTCTGAGATTTCATGACCACTTTGCGCGATACTTCATGGGCACACGTACCAACACATACCTAGACAGCCACGATATTGTAAATTATTCATGACGTTTCTACAAACAGACCACTGGAACCTAATCTATATGCAAGCTTGTTAGGTTAGATAATATCACAGGGACAAAATACGGCATTTCCTATACATCACAAGCTGTAT